CCTGGTCTTCGGGGGGGAAGTGCCCCCTGCGCCGCCAGAGGCGGCAACAGTGGGGGAGGCACCCTGCACTAGCTGGGCCGCCCTCCCCCCCCGTTCGTAACTAGGGGTCCGACTTAAGTCGGATTGACCTAACCCGGGGACTGTCTGTCTCAGGGGGTATGTCTACACTACCCCGCTAGTTCGAACTAGCGGGGTAGTGTAGACATACCCCCAGGGCTCAGGACAGAGCCAGGTCAGCACGTGGAGAACAGGCCCCTCCATGGGGCCAAGGGGGTGGGGACCCAGCCCCACGCCCCAGGGCTCAGGACAGAGCCAGGTCAGCACGTGGAGAACAGGCCCCTCCATGGGGCCCAGGGGGTGGGGACCCAGCCCCATGTTCTGCGCGTCCCTCGCCTCTGCCAGACGCTGGGCAAGGCGGCTGGTTGGGTTGCTCAGGGTTTGCCTCTCTCTGGGAGCCAGGACCCGGGCGCGATGGGCCTGGGTCTGGCCCTTCGCTTGTTCTTAGCATAGAATCCCAGAGCAGTAGACCTGGCAGGGCCCTTGAGCGTCATGGAGTCCAGTCCCTGCCCCCACGGCAGCACCAACTAGACCTGTGGTCCCCAACCTTTCGTGGCTGCTGGGTGTCCGGGGGCGGGGCCGCTCATGCACCGGGCGTCCGGGGAGGGGGTCACGCATGCACCACGCGCCTGGGGGTGGGGGCCGTCCATGCGCCCTGAGCCCAGGGCCAGCACCACGCATGTGCTGGGGGCAGGGCCAGCCCAGATGTTTCGGCGGGCACCATGGCGCCCGTGGGCACCACACTGGGGAGCACTGAGCTAGACCATCGCTGACAGCGTCTGTCCAACCTGCTCTTCAATATCCAGGGATGGAGATTCCTCCAGCTGAGTCTCCTAAGCAGCGCAGGGTAAAGCGGGAGAGCGACGTCTCGTGTCTGGCTCACAGCACCCCTGTTCATGCCGCCCAGAACCATGTTTGCCTTTTGCAACAGCATCACGCTGCTGACTCATGTTTAGCTTGTGATTCACTCTGAGCCCTGGATCCCTTTCCGCAGTTCTCCTTCCGAGACCGTCGCTTCCTATTCTGTGTGTGTGACACGGACTGGTCCTGCCTACGTGGGGCACTTCGCATTTGTCCTCATTAAACTTCATCCTGTTCACCTCTGACCATTTTGAATTCGACCTGATCCTCCAAGGCAGTTGAACCCCTCCCAGCCTGGGATCACCTGCAAACGTAAGTGTCCTCTCTGTGCCGATATCGAAATCGATGAAGACATTGAACAGAACAGACCCCTGTGGTTATACCTTTCCAGCAGGATTGAGAACCATTAATAACTACTCTCTGAGAACGGTTCTCCAGCCAGTTCTGCACCCACCTTGTAGGAGCCCCATCTAAGTTGTATTTGCCTTGTTTATTGATAAGAATATCACGCCGGACCGTATCAAACGCCTTCCTAGAGTCCAGGTATCCCACGTCAATCGCTTCTCCCTTATCCACAAGACTCGTTAGCCTATCGAAGAAAACTATCCGATTGGTTTGACATGATTTGTTCTTTACAAATCCGTGCTGGCTGTTCCCTGTCACCTCAGATGAATTTCTTAATTACCTGCTCTGTTATCCTTGGCACAGAAGTTAAACTGACCGGTCTGTAGTTCCCTGGGTTGTTCTTATTTCCCTTTTTACACATGGGCGCTAGATTTGCCCTTTTCCAGTCTTCTGGAATCTCTCCCGACTTCCATGACTTTTCACAGATGCTAGCTAAAGGCTCAGATACCTCCTCTAGCAGCTCCTTGAGTATCCTGGGATGCATTTCATCAGGCCCTGGTGACTGGCAGACCTCTCACTTTTCTAAGTGATTTGTAACTTGTTCTTTTCACTTCTAAACCTGCCCCCTTCCCACTAG